TATCGAGTAGAAAATGCTCCATCAACCCATATAGAAAAACAGTAAAGAGTATGGGATTGGCCTGAACCCTCTCCAATGGTTTGTTCCAGTGAATAATCTTCCTTACTTTTGATTTGCCCTATTGAGAGGGACAGGGTCAATTCATCCTGTCAGTCAGCAAGTGCCTACCATATTTATGGTAAGAATACCTCCTCCACTTCCACCCCCACCTTAGTTAACTTCTATTCGATATTCAGAATTTAGCTTAAATATCATTTCAGCTACTAAAGTTTAAGACTAGGCCAGGTCCCCCTGGCGTGTGCCCTCATGGCACCAGGAGTCTTACCTTTTTTTTTTTTTTTTTTTTTTTTTGCGGTACGCGGGCCTCTCACTGTTGTGGCCTCTCCCGCTGCGGAGCACAGGCTCCGGACGCGCAGGCTCAGCGGCCATGGCTCACGGGCCCATCCGCTCCGCGGCACGTGGGATCTTCCCGGACCAGGGCACGAACCCGCGTCCCCTGCATCGGCAGGCAGACTCTCAACCACTGCGCCACCAGGGAAGCCCCAAGTCTTACCTTTTTTTTGCACTTCGCGGAATGCACTTATTTTGCTCTTGCGGTGATTATGTGCTTAAGGCTTGTCTTTTCTGTAATCTAGATAAGGACAGGGACTTGGTTTTTGCTTAAGAGTGTACCCCTGGTACTTAGCTTGGTGCCTGCTGTGTAGTAGCTGCTCAATTCTGAAGAAAGGAAAAGAGGGAGGCTCTGATGCAGGGGTCATCAGAATCTCCCCACAGCACGTTACTCACCAGAGCAGCGTGCGTTTGCTTTTGGTGGCCTCTGACTGCCTGCAGCAGCGCTCCTCCCCGGGGTCCTGAAGAAAGCAGCATGAGAAGCAGGGTCATTGAGAGTAGCACTGTCCTCGAAAATAGTGTCTTGTGTGAGATGCCCCATGCGAATCTCTAAGAAAGGTACCAACACCGATAGCAAAAAGGCAAGAAAGCAAAAAAGAAGTCATTTTGGGTCGATATAATTCTGGCAGTTAAAGTTCTAGTAATTCTTTTTAAACTATATCTTGAAGAGTACCCTTTCTCCGAGCTCATACTGTCATCTGTGTGGCTATTAAGGGGTAGAAACTTGGGCAAATTTGGCTTTATTTCCATTTTAGCAAGGAACTAGAATTTCTACAGTGATGTGTAATGATGGCATGGTGGACAGGTTTTATCTGTGTCTTCAAAAAATAACAGTAAATTACAAGTCTTATTTAGAGTAATAGAAAACTAGTGCTGATGTCCCTTTTTTTTATGGGAGGGAGGGAGGGAGAGGGAGAGAGGAAGGAAGGAAGGAAGGAAGGGAGGAAGGAAGGAAGGGGGAGGGGAGGGGAGGAAGGGTTGAGTTAGACTGAGATAGGCAAATATTGATACGGCTCACATATCAATGTAAGTTTAAGTACAAGAATGTCATGATCAGATCTATATTTTTAAAGGCTCACCCTTCTTAAAGTATAAAACCCAGAGAGAATATAGGTAGAAGATTTTGCTCCTTTTCTGCGTATTTTATCTTGCATGCTGAAACCACCACATTCCCAGTTGCCCAAACTAGAAACACAGAAATTATCCTAGCCTTACCTCTCCCTCACCCTGCAATTCGCCACTAAATCCTATAGAATCTTTAAATAATTTTTAAATCCACCTGATGATCTCATTCTGAATGGTGTGTCCTTCACTCAGTCCCTTCTCACCTCTTTCCTGGTTGTTTCCAGTAGTCTTCTATCTAGGCTTTCCAGCTAGGAACTTCCTCCCCTATTTATTCTCCAGACTGCTGCCAGAGGTCCTCCCAGGATGCAAATCTAGTAGTTTTTCCACAACCTAAAACTCTTTAATGGTTTCTCATGGCCTTCAGGAGAAAGTCCAAATTGTTTCCTATGGTGCAGAAAGCCATCTGAGATTTGGACCCCATCTAACCTTTTTGTCCATCACTTACCTCCCCCCTTCGTAGGTTGTGTTTCAGCCTTGTTGAACTCCTGGCAGGTTCCCAAACATGCCAGATGGTTTCAAAACACCTGCAGAGTCTCCACTCCCTCAGTTCTGAATGGAATTCCTTCCACCTTCCATGATGAAATCCCATTATTGTTCAAAATTCAGTTTACGGGTCATTTCCTCTCTGTAGCATGTCTTAACATCCATCTCAGCACCATCTTCCTCCTCTGTCTTCCTATTCTATCATTGCTCACTCTCTGGAGTCCTCTGGAATTCCCTTCCATGGCATTGGTGACATACTTTGTTTCATTCATTGTTGCTCCAAGGAAGGACCATCTGCATTTTTTTTTTAATCCTGTTTTGAAAAAAGTTACTGTTTTGTTTCTTTAATTTAAAAAATATTTATCATCATCATCACCATCATTACCATGCAGACTCCTGTGCTCCAAACCTACTGAAGGTCTATGAACCTCGGCCCAAAACTGGCTCTTAAAAATTCTCCTAGGTTACTGGTCATATCCTGCTTGTTGATCAGGTGCTGGCTACACAGGGTGTTCATTTGTGCAAAATTCACTGAGCTTTACCCTTAGGGTATGTGTACATTTCTGTATGTATGTTATTTTCAACAGAAAGTTTAAAAGGAAAAAGCTCCCTAGGTTATTCTTATGATGGAGAACATTGACTTTCCTCTCCCTCTCTCTCTGAATTGTAAGCCCCTAGAGGACAACGAAGACATTTATTTTGGCTTTGTACTCCCTGCATTTGTTTTACTGCCTACAATATAGTACATGCTTAATAAATGATTAGTAAATAAAAAAATGAACAGAGGGAGAGAGTGCCTTGTGGCACTCTCCTCCCTCCCTCTCTTCCAAATATTATCTGTTCAACTTCCCTGCTGGAGCACATGATAGCTCACGCCTCAAAATTTCACCTCTGAAACCGCCCCCCCCCCCCCGCCCCCATACACCTGTGAGATGCCTCCTGGCTTCCTCTCTACCACATGCAGGGTGTAACTGATCCAGGGCACCAGCCTGACGATGATGAGAGAAAGGAAGCAGGTGGAGGACTTTCTGTCCCCAAACCAGTACTTCTGCCCTACCTGGGTCTGAGCCACCTGGCTCAGGCCTTCCTCACCATGCCTGGGAACCAAGCTGGAGAGAATATGTCCTTGGAGATACTGCATTGCTAAATCTTCTATTTGCATTCCTGATGTAAAGTGCTTCCTAAACTACTCAGCTTAAATTATGTAGGAATTTGAAAACTTTATGTTTGAATATTTAGGTGTAACAATGGAGGTTTTAGTTGTTGTTCTGTTTTTTTTAGCAAATTTACAGTAGAAAGTGAGAGACACCCTGGGTGAAATATTACCAAAGTCATTTATTCAGTCACAAATGATTACCAAGAGCTTCCTAGGGATACAATGATGAATGAGAGTCATCTGCCTTAATGGAGATTACAGTGTAGTGGAGGGAGACAATCAAATAATATCTAACTTTTTCATAGCACCTATGATGTGCTGGACACTTTACATATATATTCATTTCATCACTGTAACAACTCAGTGATGTTTTATGATTACCCCCATTGTAGCATTGTAGACTGATAGAGTCATGAAGGTCAAGTATAGGAGGAGAGAGCCCTAATCTTGTCCTAAGGGTCAGGGAAGATTTCTTTAAATATAAGCAGTTGAAGCAGAGATCTGAGGATTGAGTTGGAATCTAGTAGACAAAGAGGTCTGGGAACAGGCAACGGAAACAGCAGACGCAAAGTGATATTCGTGTGTTTGAGGAACTGAAAGGCTTCTCTGTAGAGGGACCATCAGGAGATCAAGACAAGGCAGGGGAGGTAGACAGGGGCCAGATCACCTAGGTTTTTTCTCCATGTCTTCAAAAGTATAATAAGGTCAGGGAAGCAAAGATAGGAGAATTAAGGTTTATTCTTAGCTTTGTTCTTACTAACCTCAGCCATCCCTCTGTGGCTCCGTTTCCTTAGCTGAAAAAATGTGTGAATGGACCAAAGCTCTGATTCTAGGTCAGGCTTTGCTGGAAGGAATTCCGATCAAGGTGCGAGCCCTGGCTGCTGCTGAATGCACTGAGGCCTCTGACTCCTCTGTAGATTAAGGAAATACAGATGATGGAGAACATCACACACAATAAGTTACACAGTAAATATGGCTGTGAGTATGGTTTGTTCCCCTTGTTGGAAGTGAAGGGTGATCTGCTAATAATAACGGTGTAATAAGGATAACCACCTCTTGTGGGCGTTTAACTGTGTGCCAGGACTGTACCAGGTACTTTCAGACAGATTTCTCATGACAGCTCCTAGTTAGATTCAAAAGCTGAGGCCTCACGGGATTACACAGCTTTAGGAAGGTCCTCACCACCCAAATTTGTCCTGCCTACTGAGCGTCTCCGGTCCTGTCCCCTGTCGCCAGGTGTGTTAACTTGAGCAATGACTTTCTCTTGGTTTGATCAGGGGCTGAGTTGGAATTTGAACCCAGCTCTGACTCCGGAGCCTATGGGGTTGTCTACCCTGCGATGCTGCCTTCCCTTCTTAAAACACAGGCAACTCCTTACTCTATAAATAGAGTGACATTGTCTCTTAAACGTCCTTTCTGGGTGAGGAAAGTGCTTTTTATAGCTTGGGACTGCTTCTGTTTACTTGGTCTCTTCCAGCACCGGTTAATCCCGCCTACATCTGTGACCTTCACTGTCCTTACACTGAATTCCTAGGTTTCCTCCCTGCAAAAGACAACTCCACGAGGCCACAAGGAGTCTGTGTGCCAGCAAAGAAATTACACACTTCTCCCTCTCCAAATCCGCCTTTCTATAAATAATCGTTCTCCTTCCCTTCAGGCCTGTGAGTAGTTTGGTCACTTCACTAAACACACACACACACTCACAAAGGTTTCGGGGAGGAGAGTACGACGTGAATGACCTTGCAAAGGTATCTAGCTCACTGGGGACAGGATTAGCAAACCCAAACCTCTACAGATATTTGTCTTCCCCGCACGTTCCTCCCGAAGCTTCTCGCTCCTCTCGCGCCGGCCTAGCCCAGTCCCCTCTCGGCTCGCTCCGCCATACGAAGCCCAACCCACCCATCTCTCCTTTGCAAAGCCAGAGAACTTCAGTCCCCATGTTGAAGCTCGGCGGTGGCGGCGGCGGTGGCGGGCAGGACTGGGCATGCTCAGTAGCGGGGACAGGTCTGGGAGGCGAGGAAGCCGCGTTTGAAGTCGCGCGGCTGGGGGATCCGGGGAAGGCGGGCTGCCGGGGCCCCGGCCGGGGGTGCGCTGGTATCCCCGATTCCGCGCCGGGAGTGGGCATGCTCCAGGCCGGCGCCGGGGGGCCGGCGCGCGGGGGGCAGGGCGTGGAGGAGGTTGGAGCGCCGGCGGGAGGAGGGGAGGAGCGCCCGGCTCGCCATCCCTCGGCGCCGGCTCTGCGGCTGTTGAATCGGAAGCCGCAAGGAGGATCCGGGGAAATAAAGACGCCCGAGAATGACCTCCAGCGAGGCCGCCTGAGCCGGGCCCCGCGCGCCGCCCCACCAGCCCCTGGCATGGGCGACCACGGCGGGCAGCCGGAGCGCTCGGCCTCGCATGCCCCGGGGACTCCCGCCGGCGCTGCAGCCGTGAACGGAGTGCTGCACAACGGCTTCCACCCGCCGCCCATCCAGCCGCCGCGCCTCTGCAGCCGGAGCCTCCCGGGCGGCGGCGACGCGGCGCCCCCGCGCCTCCCGCTCCAGCCAGAGCTCCAGCCACAGCCGCCGCCCCCTCAGCACGACTCCCCGGCCAAGAAATGCCGGCTGCGGAGGAGGATGGACTCGGGGAGGAAGAACAGGCCGCGTAAGTCCCTCCGGGAGGGGAGCGCGGGCGCCAGGCAGGCGCAGCGCGGGGTCCGGCACCCGGGAGCGGCGGGCCAGGCACCGAAGCGCGCGTCGTGCACACCAGCGCCCACCGTCGGCGGACCGCTCTGAGGGGGCGCAAGCACTACAGATCGTTGCCTAAGCCTGACCCTTGCTTGCTTCCATCTGTAGAATAGGCGATTGGACTCGGAGTCTGAGCTGCTCCTCAGGTCACGGCTCAATGGAAGGCAAATGCACTGGCCACCTTACTAATTTGTCTGTGGGGAAATGCACGTGTGTCAACATTTGGTGGGGTCCGGGAGTAGGGGTAGAGCAGCGGTGGGTGGAGAGCCTGAGTTGCCCTCGTTCTTCTCGCCCCTTTCCCTTATGAGAGCTTGTCTTTCTGGGTTGGCGCTCAGGGCAGTCAGCTTGCCCTTTGAATCGCAGAGAAGCCGCCAGCTCCATGGGCCTATTCGCAAGCGCGAGGTCTGGAGGCGTGGAGTTTGACAGCCCCGGAAAATCACAGCCTATTAAACGCTGTTTCCTCGCAGCCAATGAGAGGACCTGTTGGGAGGGACACACCCACTGATACCATGTGGGCCGGAACTATGTGGACCAATGAAGATTGGAGGTGAATTTTTTCGCGGAGTGGGGAGGTGGAGTTGAGGTTTCTAATAGTACTGTACAGTGCAGAATGCTGAAATGCGTTATTTCACAATCTAAAGCTTGTATATATGTTAGTTTGTGAAGAGTCCCTTCCCCGCTGGAAATTCTGAGATGCAAATTGTAGCTCGAATTTACAACAGGATTTTCTTATCTGAGCTGAACTTAATTCAATTTGTTACCTCTTTCTGGGTCTCCTTAATGAAGCTTATAAATGGCAGAAAGCAAAGTAAGTAGAATGCATGCTAATAAGTGATTGCATTCAAACATGCACCTTTTGCATACAGGTTATTCTGTTTCACATAGGGAAATTGCTAGATATGCTTTGGATTCGTCTGTAAAAGCTTGATATTTGGCAAACAGCTTCACTTTTTTCTGTTTCTGTTTATCAGCTTAGACTCTTAGCTTTTCTGCATTCAGTTAAAGTCTCTGAGACTTTGGAAAGCATTTTAACTCGACTGTGGGACGCGGTAACTCTGATACTTGTATTTTGTAGGTCTGAAATGTTTCGGTTGAAAGTTAACGTCTTGTCGGGAACTTTGAACCCATACAACAGATTGGCTACAGTTATAAGGAAGGCATCTTAACACCTAAATTTCTGTTTACTTTTGTTTTTGAGTCTTGTTAGAAAATGACTTTCTTTATGGATTTAGCATTGATTCCTAATGATTTATTAACTTGTTTTACTTATTTTGAAGCCACATTTTAGTTATTTCTCTGATTTACATTAACAAACTGTATGAGAATTCACAATGTAAATAGCTAAAATATAACGAAAGAGAACTGCTTTGAGTATATAGTATTGCTAGCTTAAATGGTCTGTGTTTAACTGAGCGTATAATACCTCTTGAAGTAATTTTTGAGGAATTGAAAATACACTCTCTTAACAATAGCATGAAGGCAGAGAAAAAATAACCTTGAGCCTTAACTTTTGCTTGCAGATCTGCAGGAAGTATTATTCTCGAATACAGGAAAGTATAACTTTATGCCTGTGTGCTTTGTCAGGTATTAGTTTTGTATTTTTTTTAATGAAAACCATAGTTATTTTAAGTCTAGCGATCATGCTTATTTATCTTTTAAAAAGAATTCATCAAAATTGACTTTTCATTATCCTATCATGTTTTTTTTCTCAAATTTGAACAAACATTTCTGAAATAAATTTTATATGTTCTGAGCCACATCTGCTGTGTTGACTACCAAAATCTCTTAGTTAAAACTAGGCTTAATTTAGTATCTTTATACCTTGCCTATTAGCATTCAAGTATCTTTTTACAAAAAAAAATACTGCCCAATCAGTTGATATTTACGTAATCTAAGACAAATCTACTTAGACTCAAGCACATCCCTATTTTCTGATGACTGATAGCTTTTTACATAAGCAATTATTACAAAGAGTATTTACATGCTTTAAATGAAATTTGAGTATGTGGTTGATGAAAGCATCAAAGCTGGACAAATAATTAATTCCTACTTACAGTTTGCAACTTCAAACTCCTGCTTCTGTCCAAACCAGAGGTGTTTTAGGGCAGCCAGATATCACTTCTCTCAGATAGGCACCTGGATTGCATATGTGAGTAGGTATGTTTCTGTTTGCTGATATTTTGGGTAGAGTGTGATAAACATTAAAATACTTCATGTTTAAAAGCAATGAATGGAATGAAACAAACAATCCAGTAGTTTTTGATTATTTAAAAATTTTAAATCTGATCCCTCAGTGCAAGGACTATTCACAATCTAATAATTGTAATCTAAAAATCAGAATAGTGGCAGGTTGATTTGCTAAATCAGGAAATCTTGTCCACTCTTTTAATCAAAAGATCACCTCACTCACTGTGCTTATTATTCTTGGAAAGCTTTTCCAAGACTTAACTGCTTCTTCAAGCTTTCTTGGTTACTTTAGCAACTGGGTGCCCTCAACCAAGTTAGCTCTCCTCTTGGAATGCTGGAGTCGGCTAGATGATCTTCAAGTATTGTTTCTTATATTGTACCTTCAGATTCTAAGATACTTCAGAGCTGATGGTTCTTTCTACATGACTTCTACGCTAGTTATCCAGTCTGCCACATGGCTTAACGTTTTATTATTGTTATTTTAAAAGTTTTTATTTTTGCCCTGTGCTGATTGTTCCATGTATGTTATTGGTCTTTTCTCCGCAATTAAGTTGGAAGTCTTATTATAGTTGGTAGTTTTTTTCATATGCTGTGCAACTTGGGTACAGATATTTGAGTATTTGATTGATGTTGATGAAAAAGGTACAGGTGACATCATCACCACCTCACTGAAGTAGCCATTTCCATCTGTACGACAGACGATGGCGAAAGTCCTTCCGTGGAGTTTCCATGAGGTCTCTATAGGGAGACTCCTTTCGCGTGCTCCTTGGTGCTCTGATGTTTTTGAAGCATACAAAAGTAGCTGACTCCTTATGGAGTCAACTCATATACCAAATGTTTCTAAACTAATGATAGTCCTAGCAAAATGCCAAGAGCCTAATGTTTGTAAATGGTGTCGTTATTCAAACTCTGGAGAGCTTGAGTGTGAATTGCAGCTGGATGACCTGGGGCCATTTATTTAACCTCTGTGCTTCAGTTTCAGTATTGGTAAGATGGAGCTAATCATACAGCCTCACCAGGTTGATGTGAGGATTAAATAAGATAATATGTATATAAAGAACTTAGATTCCTGCTTGGCACATAGCAGGTATACAGTAAATGCCAGCTGTCATCACCGCCATATAGAACACTGTCCACCACTAACCCACAGGACAAGACAACTGAGCTGGCAGAGACACCTCAGAATGACTTCCTTACTTAAAAAGGAGGGGGGGGGGCTACAATAAGAAAGACCAAAAAGTTTTATTTGATTAACTATGACACTCCTAGCCCCACAATTACCTTTTCCCCCCTTTGCCTCCCCAAATATTGGGTAATACAAAAATGGAGGAAAAAAGCAGGAAAAAGTACTCACAGTACCATCACTCAGAGAAAACGAATGTTTAAAATGCGCTAAAGGTAATTTTGGATCACACTAAGATAAGATTTTGATAACTTTTTTTTATTGGACTGTATTTGATTTACAATGTTGTATTAGTTTCAGGTGTACAACAAAGTGATTCAGTTATACATATACTTATATCTATTCTTTTTTAAATTCTTTTCCCATTTAGATTATTACAGAATATTGAGCAGAAGAATTCCCTATGCTATATAGTAGGTCCTTGTTGATTATCTGTTTTAAATATAGTAGTATGTATATGTCAGTCCCAAACTCCCAATTTATCCTTTTTTATTTAAAAATGTTAGCAAAAGCATTTTCTTACAGCATTAGAGCATCATTTGCAATGGTTGTATTATATTCCCAATGTTCCATTATATAGATATACCATAATTTATTTAACCTGTCTCTCATAGCTTTAGGCTGCAGCTAGAGTCTCTAAACATCATAAACAGTTCTGCAGCAACAACTTTGTACATAACTCTTTATTTTTGATGAAATTGGTGAATATGTACTTTTTGGAGAAGGAACAGAAATGGCACAAAGGAGTATATAGCTGTTGCCTTGAAATCCTGGATATTTTATTCATTTAGTTTCTTTTTTCAGCTTATTGAGGTATAATTGACATTTAAAATGGCAATATATTTAAAGTGTAGAACATGATGATTTAATATATGCATGCATTATGACAAGATTCCCATCATCAGGTTAAGAAATACATCCATCACCTCATATATTTACATTTTTATGAAAACACTTAATTCTGCTTTCTTAGCAAATTTCAGTTATACAATACAGTGTTATCAACTATAGTTACCATGTTTACATTAAATCCTCAGACCTTATTCATCTTATAACTGAAAGTCTGTACCCTTTTACCGGGCTCTCCCTATTTCCCTCACTACCACCACCCCAGTCCCTGGCAACCATTGTTATTCGACTCTGTTTCTATGAGTTCCACTTATTTTTTTTTAAGTTTCCATATATAAATGATACCACACACTGTTTGTCTTTCTCTGTCTGGCTTATTTCAGTTAGCATAATGCCGTCCAGCTTCATCCATGTTGTTGTAAATGACAGGATTTCCTTCTTTCTCATGGTTGAATAATATTCTATTGTGCACATATATGCCACACTTTATTCATTCATCCATCAGCGGACACTTGGGTTGTTTCCATACCTGGATATTTTAGACTCTAAGGATGCTTGGAGACAAGCCACACTAGTGAAGAGAGGAGAAAAACGCAAAGGAGGTAATTGTTTGAGCCAGCAAACACTATGCTGCAGAAAGCTAAATACCTGAGTACCATCAGAAGACTCAAGGTTGTGAGCTGCGCTCTTCCGTCCCA